CTGGGTTCACCTGCCTTGCTTCCCGTTCCTGGGCCAGGAAGTGGTGGAAACGACACATGAAGAAATTGAAGAAGAAGGTGAGAAAACAAGTGAAAAGGGCCGTGAGAAGGCAGGCAGCCGCGTATAACCTGGTTGCAGTCTTTGGGTGGAGGGTTTTAGGACATTCGGATTTAGGGTTAAGGGTTTGGGTTTAGAGTTTAGATTTGTAGGTTAAAGCTTGAGCCTGCTTCCAGATGCTTGAACCATCGTTCGCTCCGCAGGGTGACCACTCGGCGGCGTCGCAGTCGTCGACGCAGGACCACGACCACCTCGACCTCGACCACGACGACGACCTCCACCTCCACGTCGACAACCACGACGACCACCACGTGCCACTATGACTATAGTATACTATAGCAGTTTGCATTTCATTTCCATTATCCCAATAGTATAACCCCTATATAAGCCCTGTAGAAGCCCAAGGTCACTATGGAGTTGGAGGGACGGGCTTCTTCGTTGACTTCTCACACCAGGGCACGTTGAAGGGTGGCAGCGACTGGGCTTAATATATGTCTCGTGAGGCTGCCCTGCTCATGCAGAGGCCAAAGTGGCCGGATGCTAGAAAGAAGCTGTTGGCAGGTGTCAATGTTTTGCCTAAGGCGTTTGGTTCAGCAAGGGCGCCCAGAAGATCAGATGCACCCTGTACTGCGATCACGTGCTTACAATGGACGTGCCTTGGACACTACCCTGGATTCTTAGAGGCGCTCACAACGAGCGGCACGTTACAGCATTCTGGGAAGTTTTGGACGGTTCGCTGCGTCTTCGGGGTTCCGTTCAGACACCGTAGATACCATCTCTGAGACACAGTTGCCGCAGTTTTGTAGGTGTCTAGATTCAAGGTTTCAAGAGAACAGTGTTCTGTGAGTTCGGTACCCCCAAAAACGCATGGTACATATTCCTGAAGCATGTACTGGTACTAAGTTGGAGGCAACCGCAAATTGTAGAGCCCCTTGGATTTCCAGTTCCCCCACTGCTGTGGGAGCTCTATAAGACATAAACCCTTGTAGCTTCCAACCCTAAACCCTAAACCCTGACCTCTATACCCTAAACCCCAAATCACAGATGAGCCCTAAGCACTGCAAGGTGAGCTATGACACGACGCGACGAAGAAAAGGACGAACGGATTCCTGGTTGAATTCTTGGGGTTCAGGGTTTAAGGTTTGAGGTTTAGGGTTTGGAGTTTAACGTTTAGGGGTTTAGGGTTTATAGTTTAGGCACTGGTCTAAGCTGACAACCCTACTTTAGTTGTAGACTACAGTCCTTTCAACAGGTGCTTATGTGGGGTTCCATGTTCGTTGGGGGGAGGGTATTTCCCTTTAAACCCTAAAACTCCAAGCCCCAAACCCATCAACGCCTAAACCCTAAACTCTAAAACCCTCAACCCCAAGTCCTATAGACCCTAAACCCTATAAGCCCTAAATCCTTAAGCCCTAAAGCCTAAACATTCACCAAACCTAAACCCCAAACCCTCAACCCGAAAGCTTGGCCCAGGTTAGCATCCCGGAAGTCTGCAGGGGAGCCAGATCGGTGTATCTCTGGGGCTCCGGAGCACAAGGACCTTAGGGTTGAAGGCTTAGGGTGTAGGGTTTAGGGTTTAGGGTTGAGGGTTTAGGGTTTAGGGTTGAAGGTTCTCAGGGTTTTCGGGTTTTCGGGTCGTAGGGTGTTGGAGAATTCGCGCAGTTGCCATACGAAGAGTTGTATGTAGCCCAAGTCATGACTGCCCTGCGCGCTAAACTCCTGAACCCTCCCGAAACCTTGAATCCTAAACCCTAAACCTTAAACCCTAATCCTCCAAAATCCTAAGCCATATTTGCCAACATCACCCCAAGCTTTTGAGATCCTCTTCCAGGATATTGTGCCTTTTCGCACAAGCGCTTGGATGCGCCTTGCTTGGCCTTCGCTCTAGGGATCCAAATAGCCGAATGTGGGTGGTTTAGGGATTAGGGTTCAGGGTTTAGGGATTAGGGTTTAGGAATTTGGGGTTTAGGGTGTAGGGATCCAAATAACGCAATGTACGTAGGTAATATTTGCAGGCTTTGGGGCCCGATGTAGGTGTTTGGATCCCCAGGGTCAAAGCTTATGATTGACTAGGGTTTATGGTTTCTGACCAGCCGCGACGAACAGAATCATGTGCAAGCATAGTGTTGGCAAGAGCGTTTGCTGTTCTAGTTGTTCATAGGGAATGCAGGAATTACGCATTACGGTAGCCCCTACATAGTCTCCCAGAACAGAATAGCTTCCATTTTCTTCTCCATGACTTTATATATATATATATAACTTTTCTCATTTGGAAAGGGTAATTTAAGCCAAGCCCCACCTGTTTGTTTCCCTAACCCCTAAATAAGTAGGTTAGGCCATCACCGACAGGTTTACAACCTGGCTGAGTCCGTGACCTTGACAGGAGGATGCTCGGTGTTGTATTTGGTGAGTCATGATCTTTGAGACCCCACATCCTACGTTAGGGTAAAACCTAAACCTCAAACCCTGAGCCCTAAGACCCAAGGTTTAGGAGTTTAGGGTTTCGGGTTTGCTGTGATGTTGTGCTGCAGCACAGAGTGTCATGCCACACAGTCGCTTCGTGCGTCGTGCTGCGCGACATGAGCCATCTAACACATGCACACAGCCCAGGCCTATTCCTATTAAGGTTTCAGGACCTAAGCTCAATTGGGTCTATCATGGTCAACAACACGATTCAGTCTACATGGTGTCGTGGGTGCTGCTGTTCACATGGTTGTGGGAAGGCAGGGGATCATTTTTGGTCGGCCTGCGCCATCCGGGGAGGGGCGTAAGCGCTGCTCACCATGGTAGGTGCGTGGCCTAGGCCTTCACTCTTAGGGTTTTGGGAGCTTATCTAAGTTAAGTCTGTAAGCCCTAAGTAGAGACCGCTTATACTTTGCTATGATCACTTATCTCTACATGCCGCTAGGGCCCCAAGACCGCTTGTGAGAAACTCCCATGTACCAAAAGCCCTGGACCTGTAAATCATTGGTTTGGGCAGTGAAGCCCGGTACTGAATGACCCTGAACCCTGTCCTGTGGGTAATATGCTCCAACTTTGTGGTGCAAAATCCTTAGCCCCTCAACCCCTGAACCTCTCAACCAAAGCCGGTATAAACCAAACGGCCAGCCAAGCGCTTCGTATTGAACAGCTACCCTCCCCTCACATTAACATGGAGTCTTATAATGGGTTAAGGGTTTAGGTAAACTACAATCCCTTCAAAACCTTCGACCCTAAACCCAAAACCGCGGCTCATATTTTGTTGGGGAAGGGTATAGTCCCCCCTTAAGTAGGTGGAATATGGCTTCGGGCAGATTATAATAAGATCCCCATATACCCCATATTCTATCTACTCAAGGGGGGCTATATTAAGGATCATGAGGCCCTTCGAAAAGCTGCCCAAACAGGGTTCAGTTTATGCTTGTTGGGGAAGGGTACGGAACATGAGCCCCTAAAACTGGTTTGCTGTTAAGGAACTTAATTTAAGTTCCATATTGGGGAGACCCTACTACTTACTATATATACCCATAGTAGTAGCTTAACTTAAGTTCCTTCACAGCAACCCACAAAACACACTTGCCCAGGACAAGTGCCTGGAGTCGGCATCGCTGCCTATGGCTGTGAGGCTCGGGCCCCGAAGAATGCCATCTTATGCGTTTAGACTTGGGGCTTGGAGAGCGTAGGAAATAATGGGTTTAGGTTTTTGAGTTTGGAAGGTTTAGCGGGCTTTTGGTAAGTTTGAGCGGTTTAGGTTGGGGGCCGAAGAACAGTGTGCGCATGCAACATACACTGAACCTTGCACCGCAGCCCCTGTCTCTCTATGATCTCTGAGGCTTATATGCGCAGTGGACAGACCGACCTATCCATTTATCTTTATCTTTATCTTTATCTATCTATCTATGTATCTATCTAGCTGTCTCTGTCTCTCGCGAGATAGCTCTCTTTCTCTCTCTCTCTCTCTCTCTCTCCTTAGACTCTATCTATCTCTACCTGTCTCTCTCTCCCGCTCTCTTTAGCTATCCATCCGTCTATCATCTCTGTGTACCCATCTACGTATCTATCTGCCTATCTATCTACCTAGACAGATGAGAGTATGCCCACGTATACATGCGCATGCTGCTTTGGCCTGGGCCTCTCACAGCCCTAAACCCGTTGTGCCTAGACATCCTAAGCCCAAAACGCTAAACTCCTCATCCCTAAGCCCTACCTGGATACAAAACGTATGTAACATAATGCGTTTTTTGCTGTGTTTAGGTTTTGGGCTTTTATTCTACCCACTTTTGGGGTCCACGTATACATCTCCATAACCTCTTTAATCCTACCTCTGGTTTAGCAAAGAATGAAGGAATAGAAGAGAACATTGAAGCTACTGTATTTTCGGGTTTTAAATGGGGAGTGCTAAAGGATCCATTTCTTCGCCCCTTGCTAGCCAGACGTAGCCTCTGACATCCAAAAAAACCTGACACTCTAAGCCCTAACAACCAGACGTAACCGAAACTCTTAACCTTAAACTCTAAACCTTACACTCTTAACCCTAAACTGTAAACCCCACACCCTAAACCCTAACTGTAAGCCTGACACCCTCCTAAACCCTAAACTTAACACCCTGAACTCTAAATCCTAAACCCTTACACTCTCAACCCTAAACCGTTACACCCTAACCCTAAGCCTTAAACGGACGGAACTCGTTTCGAGTCCAGGCCGGTTATAGACCAATGGGCTGGGTGACGATGAAGGTTGACGAGTGGCTGGGATCGCGCAAAGCTGGAGGGGTGTGTGAGCCCCTTTAGGGTTTGGGGTTGTGAGTTGAGGTTGAGGGTTTTGGGGTTTAGATGGGTTTAGAGTGTTAGGATTTTAGGGTTTAGGGTCTTGAGTTGAGGTTTAAGATTTTGAGGTGAGGTTTAAGGGTTTTAGGGTTAAGATGGGTTTAGCGTTTTAGGGTTTTAGGGTTCAGGGTTTTGAGTTGAGGTTTAGGGTTTGGGGGTTTGGATGGGTTTAGGATTTTAGGGTTTAGGCTTTGGAGTTGAGCTTTTAGGTTTTGGGGTTGTAGGGTTCTAGGGTTTACGGTTTTAGGGATGTAGCGGTTTAACGTTTTAGGGTTTTAGAGTTTACGGTTTTTTGGGTTTATGTTTTTAGGGTCTAGGGTTTAGGGTTTTGGGATTTGGGGGTTTAGGGTTTTAGGGTTCTATGGTTTCAGGTTTTAGGGGTTTAGGGTTTCAGGGTCTAGGGTTTAGGGTTTAGGGATTTAGGGATTTAGGGTTTAAGGGGACTCCATGTCTGTTGAGGGAAGAAAAAGCGAATGGAAGCTACTGCTGTGTGTAGGGCTTAGAAAGG